AGCTAAACGGCAACCTTAAAAAGCATATAATTTGCATTTTTCAAAAACTCAAAGGTATGGCTAGGAAAACCAGCACTGACTCTTAAAATCTTATCTATTTTATAAATCAAAAGAAATGATGCATTCTGGAGAGCTTGTTTACATGTAACTCAAGAAACCTTAAGGAGAAAGTTGGACTAGATGACCATTGTAGATCCCTTCCAACTGAAATATTCTGGTCTATTCTGAAAGGAAAAAACCTAGATGCATCCAAGGAATCTCTATTATTTATGATACAGGACTGTTTTCCAGAGAACCATTCAGGAGGAACATCTGGCCAAACTTCACCCTGTTTATGTAACATCACACTATGGAGTTCAAACCCATGATTTGTTTTCTGGTCCCTGAGTGATCCAACCCTAAAGAGGCTGACTTCTAACAGAGGCAGCTCCATCCTCTGACAGCTGAGACCTCTCTGGAAGCCCATAGGCAGGGGCACAAATACAGGCAGTAAAACAACAGAGCAGGGGACACTTCGGAGCAGAACCGGTCATCAAGGGCATGACAACCTCACGCCAAGTCACTTAGAACACAGACTTGTCTCAAACACAAATCTAAACTAAATTTGGTTTGGACTATCAAAGAATATTATGGAAATAGAGTTATCATTCCTGCAATAACTTTCCCAGGTGGTGTAGGACATTTAGGGAAGAAAGCTAAAAGCAACACTGAAATACAGAATTAATGTCATATGGCTAGATACTATTTTTTCAACACGTAATTTGCAAGTATGTATGCAGGCTAATCAAAGGTTGTTTTTATTTGAACATATTTATATAAAAAGTGTAGCCACAGATACTTTACATTAGATAATAGTTTTTTATGTCCTTCTTACTCAGAGGCTATTAATGAAAGTATATCTTCTTCACACTTATAAACCTTTCTCTTCTGGTATATTATTTCAACAGTTCTTCATTTAACCAACAGAGATTTTTATTTTTTTTTCATTCTAATATTAGTGTTGGAGACACTAAACTGGATCAGTTAGACTCCTACTTGGTTCTTGCTTCCAAGTGTTCTTGAATGCTCAACAATAAAAATTCAACAATGAGAAGGCAAAGGAGTTAAATCTGTGACTTGCCTAAGAGCTCTAATCTTACCGTACAACTGCAGAGGATGAATAACCTACTACTACTTCTACCTGTACGGCTTTAAAAAAAAAAAAATAGTCGTCAACCATTCTGAGAAATGTTTTACCCATAAAAATAGTGCCTCTCTTCTTGGACTGACTAATACAATCTACCACTTGTATATGTAGGATTGAAATAAATTCATCTTCATGACTTTATGCTCTATTTAACCATTTCCATTAACTGAAATATACTGAACTTGATTATATTTGCAACACTAGCAGCGGGAAGCATATTGTATTTTCAGTCTGCTGAATAACAGCCATGAGCTACCGCAGCCGTAGTCTTGTTCCAACCTGTGCTTTGTGAACAAAAAGCTAGGTCCTCCTTTATCCTCTCCATATTTACAATGCTAGGATACAATCCAAGGAGAAACCTGTTTGAGAGGTGACATTAATTTATACCTAGAGAGCAGTCTAGGAACCCGAATAATCTCAAATCCTGCCTGCCACCAGACTTCAGTACTGTGGCAAATAAAACAAAACACCTTATACAAGTTTTAGCATCTGAACAAGACAGACTGGATCAAACAAGATAGCTCAGCAAGATTAACTTTTCTTTCCAACTTTCTAACATCCTTACTTATCTTGGCCATTAGGTGTCATGTTTGCAGGATCAGAAGCTTTTGCAAAGTGTGAACACAAGTGCCTAAGTAAAAACTTGATCCTGGGATTTATGAGGACGCCTTTAAGAACATGCTTTCATTAAAATTCTGTTTAATTTCCTATTATCTGTTAAATAAAAGAGTAAAAGCAAATCAATAACTACTTCAGAGCTCAGCATAAAATGAATTCAGGCTGTACTCTAATCACCATCCTCACTATCTCCTCTTAAAAAAACCCAACCAAACAAAACCCAAACAAAACCCACCTCAAATCAAGGCCAAAAAAAACCCCAAAACCCACACAACAACCACCAAGCACAAGCCCAGGACTTGACCAAGTTCTAAAAGTTAGGTCTCTCTTGAATCTGCTTCTGCAGAATTCAACACACAAAGCTACCAGAAGTACTTGATGTTTAACTTTAATCTGCCTCATCAGAAGTTAAAAGAAAGCGATAAAATAGAAGTCTTCCATATTATCCTAAAAAAAAAGAAAAAGTTTTGATCATGATCCACAGCCAGACCCAGCTGACCAAGCCCAGCAGCGCTCTGCTGAACTGACTTCAGCAAGGTTGAAAGTAACCCCAGACCAAGGGGAATTCTGAATTTCAAACAGCTACAAGTAAAAAACACTTCAAATATAAAGAATAAAGATTTGAACTTTATGTATGTTCAAAAGATTCACTTCCTTTTCTCTAGTCTAAACAGAAAACATGTTCCTGTTCTCAGAATATTAGGATTCCTCTTTAAGATGATTTTGTTTTTTAAAAGCCTCTATAGAGTTGCACAGAAGCAATCTGTTCTCTAAATACGAAGTACAAGTTCAAAGTGCCACTGAGCACGCTGTCCATGCGCATGGTACAAGAAAAAACACTGCAATATATAGTACAAACAAATGTTTAGGATTGTTTATGCCTAAGACTGAGTCAATATACAATTAAAACTTTTATGTTAAGAGTATGCACACATGTTACACCACTACTATCTAATTACATTTCAATTTTTTAGGAACAGTCCTCAGATGGATGAAGAGCCATGAAATGTATCACAAATAGTCTGTGTATTTACTGCTCACAGTTTCAAATATAAACCGTTTTGATAAACTGTATAAACATCAGTCTCCAAATAAAAGCATTAACGTGCCACTGGAATTACACTGTGCTAGTAATTTAGTCCATTTGGCACGTAGTCCTCTCAAAATCTTCAGCAAAGCTACTTACCCTAAAAACGGCCACACCAGAGCCAAGACACGTGATGAGAGACACCGCGCTTAGCTTCCTTTGAGTCTTCAGAATTACAACTCTTGGGTCTGCCAGCACCGCCTGGGCCTACTAAATGCCATCAAGGTTTGTTTTGCACCGTACGTGGTTCCTTGATCAGACCACTTACACCCTTCTGGACATACTCTCCCCTGTTTACAAAGGCCATAAGAACTATCTGCTTGTAAGAGGTACAGCTCACTTTTCTGTGGATGATCTTAGCCTGACAGAACACAAACAGCCCTCTCCTCCTGGTGCATAGAAAATACTGCGCACGAAAACAGATTATTTTTAGCAGCAGTGTATGTGAGCACAGCACTTCCTGTCGACTCCACCTTGAAGAATGACATGTGTATTCTCCTTCTCATTTCCAAAACTAGGATTTCACAACTTCTGCTATCCAGCACAACAGAGAGAAGGAAGGGACAATCTGCTGAGAACTGCAAGTGACAATTTCCCAGTTTCTAACTCGGCATTAAAAACTTCTGTTGGAGTATGTTGTCGGTCTTCAGGCAACTACGCCAATAAATTGATGGCATTTTTTCTGCCACAATGATGAACAGAACTTTAAATGTTTTTATTTATTACACTGATCTTTTCCATAGCAACAGGATGTGAACATGGTATTCCCAGCGTAATGAAGTCACTATAGTAACGTGATAATGATGTCAGAATAATCAGACAGCGTTTCATACTTGGGACAGGGTGAACTACATTGCTTCTGTGAGTTAAAAAAGTTGCAGATAGCACAAATGCAAGGGTACTCCATCTAATCTAAAACTTCCCTTTAAATTGCCTCATTTTGGAAAACTTCTCATTAAAGGCACAGACCTTTGACTGCTAACGCGCTACTTTGTTTCTCCATAGCATCACCCATTACCCCCCAAAAGTCTCACAAATTTCCACATTAAAACCCTTTCAGAACCTGAGGGATCTGCTAGCACCCATGAGAGTTAATGACGTACTGTTTCAGTAAGAAAAAGCAACGACAAAAATCACAACAGTGAAATATTTCACAGCAGACAGCCGCTCTCAACTACAGCCAGTTTCCTCAGTTTAACTCTTCGCATAATTTGGTGCCTCTTTTCACATGGAGCAATACTACTACTCAGACTGAATTACAAAAGCAACAGAAATTATAGAGCGCTGATATAATACTCCGAAGGCAGGCAGGCATTTTCAAGTCAAACAACTATTTTAAGAAATATCATCTCCCTCGTTAAGCTACTGAAAGGAAAAAACCCAGAGCTTTCATGGTTTGCCCTTCCTGTTTGCAGCTCTTTCCAAGTTCTGAGCAAAGCAAAGCCCAAGAGCCGATTCCAGTTCTGTGTCGGTCAGTATGGATGCATCGTGTCCAAACCCCAACGCTCCCGCTGAGAAAGCTTCGCAGAAACCCTGGCACCAAAACCACCTGTATCGCAGCTCAAGTATCGTCAGCAAAGACGCCAGTTAACGAGAAGTTATCTAAACACAAAAGTTTCCCTAGACGGAGAACGGTTTCTCTTTAAAGCGACTGAAGGAAGCCCAAGAAACCATTTCAGAGCTGAAGCGGTCCGAGACAACGGGTCCCTGGGCCCGGAGGACGAGGGTTGACTGGCGCGTTGCCGCTCCGCACGGCTGGCGAGGGGCTGCTCGGCGCCCGCTTTGAACAGGGAGCCGTCGCCTTGGCCCGGCTGGTCCCACCTGCCTCCGGCCCAAACCCCGCCGACGTCCGTCCGGGCAGCGCAGCGGGGCGGCGGGCGAAGG